ATATATATTTATATATATATTTAAAAGATATTGTTTAGTCTAGCTAAGACATGGTAGTTTCTGGCTTGTGTTGTCAATTGTCATGACGACAATTATTTATTTTTATTTTGTTTTATAAAAAAAACGACTTTTTCTTCTATAGACATGAAATAATAATTACAGTAATGACTTTAAGTACAAATTAAAATCAAAATAACTAATCTTAAATTATAAAATATACTAAATGACTTGAATTAATGACTTTGGATTAAAAAAAACTGTTAATGATAGGTGGTATTGAGAAAAACCCAAATCTCACATCGACTAGGGATTAGACAATTAAATAGTATATAAGTGGAAAATAATCCTCACCTTGCAAGCTGATTTTGTAGGGTTGAGTTAAGCTTAATCCACTATTCTAAGATAGTATCAAAGCTATCCTAGATTCTAAAAAATGACCACTCAAAATAGAAAGTAATCCTCACTTTACAAGCCAGTTTTCTAAGGTTGAGTTAGGCTTAATCCTCTATTTTAAGAGTTAAGAGGTGGATCAATTTTCCGCCTCATTCTATCTATGAAAACTGTGTTTTTTTTGTTTTGTTTTTTTTTTATATATAGATTAAATGATAAAATAAATATAAGTAAAAGAGTTTGGAGCCATCGGTAATTGTCTTCCAGAATGCTGGTGGGCATTATCCGGACCAACCTAGGTGTCTAATGATGCCATATGGGAAAAGAACCTGCCCTCATTTTGGGTGCAAGCATGCGTACGGTAATAGAATTGTGGCGGCTTCAGGTACACTACTACTCCATCCAATTAATCCAATCTAATTTTATCTTAATAGGTTAGAGGTAAAATAAAATTCTTCACCCGATTAATTTTTTTTAAAAATATAGTACTGATAGACAATATTTATTATTATATATAATAATTAATTTTTTGTTGAATATAAAATATCTATTATCAAAAATAATGAATAATTTTTATGAAAGATAGTGAGTATATACAAAATAATTTATTTTATGTTTTAAATCAGGATTTCAACAATGGATAATCTATTAAATTATGTATAAGTTAAAAAATTAATTAAATAATCTTTTCAACAGATCTAAAATTATTAATAATAACTATTACAATTTTCAAATATTTATCGGTTACCATTCATCGATATGCGCAAAATGTAATTTAATAGGCACCATAAAAAAACTAAAACAATTTTTTAGTGTTAATTAAATTTTGGATAACTTGTTGTATTTTTATAATTTTTAATATTTTATTTTCTAAAAATATTAATATTTTGATCAATTAATATTTTGGTCCGATTAAATAAAGTTGAGTTGTTTAGAAAAAGAACATGCAGAAGAAGAAAAAAAATTTATCGGTACCTATAGATTATACAGGTCTTAACTCTCTAAATATCCATTTTTTGAAAATAAAAAATAGTATTAAGAAAAAGAAAAATATGATAAATAACCCCTATAGTACATCTAGAACACTAGAACACTAGAACACTAGAACACATTAGCTAGGCATTCCTAAGCTAAAGGCCTATGTGGGCATGGTTCTAGTCTAGCTATATGACTATGGTATGGTATTCATATATATCCCAGATGAAAATTATATGAAGAAAAAAATGTCTTTTATCAGCTTTTTAATATATTATTTATTATGAGTTATACTTTTAATATTTTATTTAATTTATTACATTTATTTTCATCTTTTATCTCTTAAAATATTTATTTTTATTATTTATAAGTCGATTTGGTACTTTTATATATAGATTTGCTCCTTCTAAATTTATTATTGTTTTAATAGATAAAAAGACGTTTGAAATGAGTATAAAAATTAAAATAAATAACTAAAAGAATAACTTAGTTTATTATGTAATTAATTTAGCTTTAAATTAAAAAAAGTGTCATTATTCACTAATTAAAAGTATTTTAGGTTAAGTTAAGTTTGATTATTTTGTTTTAGTATAACAAGACACACATGAACAAATTTCATATAAGTAAAAAAAAAAGTTAAATAACATTCAAATTGATCAGACATAACTTTTATTTTTTTGGGGATAATAAACAGGTATATGGTGATTTTATAAAAATTATTTATTTATAAACATTTTTCTACTTTCAATATTCTCAACAAATAATCATTCTATCGAGCAACAAGTTTTTTTATAATAATAATAATTATTATTATTGAATATATATACTCAAATATCGTTAAAACTTAAGTAATTCACTAAAGTACGTACAAGAGGAAAAAAAAATAATACACAATTTTTTCAAGGATAA